CTATACAGAAGAGAATTTATTCTGCAAACAGACCACAAACCGCTGTTAACAATATTTGGTTCAAAAAAAGGTATACCAACTCACACGGCAAATCGACTATAAGCGTTGGGAGGTAATTCTATTGAATTATAATTTCAAAATAGAATATGTGCCTTCAAAGAAGTTAGGTCACGCTGATGGGTTATCAAGATTGATACCTAGATATACAGAACCACTGGAAGAAACAGTAATAGCGGTGCTAAGAACGATGATTTCATTAAAAAAAATGAAAAAGCAAGTCTGGAAAAAGGAAATTAGTGTGTCACTTTTTTCATTCTGCGAACAGGTATTACTATACGCAGATAGAGTTGTAATGCCAGTTACTCTGCAAAAGAAAATTCTGAAAGAATTCCACACTGGCCATCCAGGGATTTCGAGAATGAAATCTCTAATGAGAAGCTATACATATTGGCCGAGGATGGACCAAGACATAGAAAATTTGGTGAAACAGTGCAGAGGATGTCAACTGGCAGCAAGGGATCCACCAGTAAAGATTCAACCATGGCCAAAGACAGATGTCCAATGGACTCGATTACATATTGACTATGCAGGGCCCATAAATGGATCTTATTACCTGATCATTTTGGACAGTTTCACTAAGTGGCCAGAAATTGTTAAGTGCAGCAAATACAATAAATGCACTTAATGAAATTTTTAGTCAGCGTCAATGGAACGCAGTTTACAGGAAGAGAATTCTGTAGATCATTGTCCATTGATCACGTGACGACACTAGTATCTCATCCAAGATCGAATGGACAGGCGGAAAAATTTGTGGACACCTTTAAACGATCGTTGAAGAAAAACCAAATCGTGGACACGAATGAAAGAAGTATTCAGAAATTTTTGGCAGTATATAGAATCATGCCAAACCCGAATATGCCAACAGAGTTAATGTTTGCAAGAAAAATATTCTCTGTGTTCAACAGGCTGTTGCCTAGTCCGGCGAAGAAAATGGCTAAAAAAGAAAACTAGATGACTAAAGTGTATAAGCCAGGTGACAGTTTTTTTTGTTTTTTTTTTCTTTAGGGATGAAAAAATGTATTGGGAAGAAGGAATGATAACGAAAAGAATTGCAAGGGTCATATATGACATAAAAGGGGAAAAATTTCAGTGCAAAAGACATTGGAATCAATTGAGACCCAGACACACTACAGAGGTCACGAAAAATACCAAAGAGATTCCAATGGAAGTCCTGTATGATGCATTTGAAATTTCCCTTCAGGTAAGTCAACATTCATCAATGGAGGTATCCCCAACCTCAAGTCTTGAGGTACCAGTGTCACAAACGCCACCACTGCAAGGAGGATTGAGGCGAAAAAGACTTAGGAAACAAAATCAATCAATTAAGTCCAGACCCTAAAAAGAGAAAATATTGAAGCTAAATTTCATGGGAAAAAGCTCAGGAGGAGGTGATATAATGAATATGCATACACCTGGGTTCCCCCTCACAGTAATATGATTGGCTGGTGTCAGCCATAAATACAGACTGATGTGGAGGTACAAGGGGGCACCTATTGATGATGCCTATTGCCTACCACTGCGACGAGGACCAGTTCATTATGGTTACTTGCTAGATTGTCCTACTCAGTTACAGTAGTCCAAAACCACTTTGCTACTTCAAACAAATATATCCCTTTCCGAGACATATCAAAAGCACCCCAGGAAAATAGATTTAGTTGTCCATGCCTTCTTGTTTAACATCCAATAAAAAATAGTTTCTCAAAGTGCAAATAAAAAATTAACTTGTTATTTTTTTAAGAGTGTTAGTTCGTTTGTAAGTATTTTTATGTGGGATGTGTATAAAAATATTCACATGAAAATGTTTCCACAGTGATGTTCATGTGAAAAATTTTTTAAAAAGTGTTGATTTGTTCTTAAAATTGTATTTTTTCTTCATATACATGTATACATATTTCATGTACAAAAAATACAATTGAAAATTAAATACAATTAAAAAGTCAATAGAAAAATGCAGTTTAAAAAATTAATTCTACAACATGCAAAAATTGTTTATTTGTTCAAGGTTTCTTTTTTGTGAATATTTTCTTTGTCGTGTGTGCAAGAGAAAGAAGTAAGTTTTGAGAAAGAATGGTTAACTCAAAAAAATTAGTTTAATGAATTCTGTGACTTTCACATGAAAACTTAAGTCAGTGGGAGTAACATCTATTGAATCATTAAAAATATGTACACTGCAAATAACTGAATTTGTGGATATTAGCACCACAGAAACAGGAAACTGTATCATAAAGGTAATAAACTACTTTCATGTGAAGCAAATTAATCTAAGAAGGATTGACAGAAAAGTACAACACAACACATTTCATGTTTAACACATTTCAAGTGCTTCTACTATCACCAAGGTCTGGTCTCACAAGATAGACTAAAAGAAAACAAACAAATGCTACCTTTTTTGAAAATTTTTCTTTTTATGTGCTGTATCTCTTCATGGCTCTCCACTTCCTCCTATCCCTTGTAGCTCTCAATAAGTTTTGTCCCATTGCTACTTCCCCCAGGCCATGTCCTGTCATCCACTTGCTTAAGCTTGTTATGTAAGGCATTCAGTGTCAGACTTATGGTTCACAGGAACCAATTGTAACTTTATACCCTCCCTGGTCATCCAAGACATCTGGTACTGTGGCTGATTGATGGAGTGATCTCTTCGATCCTGACCTGCCTTACCCCACATTGTTATTGGTTGATCATAAGGAGGCCAAGATTGACTCATTGTAGGTATTTTTGTGTTGGGGCAGTCCAAGCAGAGTGAAGTTGTGCAGTAAAACAGGAAAAAACAACACTCAAAATAATATAAAAAATATTTTCTGTTTTTATATTGGGTACTGTATACAATGGTTTGTCAATAGTTGTTAGGGTCTAGGTGTTAGCATACAGGTGTTTGTCAACCCAACCTGTTCCTAAATCAGCTATGACACTTGGTTAAGCTGCTAAGGTTTGGCTTGCGGAGTTAGTGATTTGGTTCAAGGCTGATGTCGGAGGTTCACGTCAGCAGATAGTCATGTGCATTATCTCACGCTCAGCAACTGGAATGGAGTTCCAGGGCAATGTCTCTCCCGTCTCTTTTCTGTCTCTCCCATCTCTTTTCTGTCTCTCAGAATTACTTTGTGCATTCATATTTATTGATATCTACCAAAAAACTAGTGTGGGGGGGGTAGTGTGATGCAGTTGGGGAATTGGTATTTCCTCCACCTGTCATCTTCATTGTTTTTGGTCCTGAGAAATTAATTATTTACTAATTTGGAAATCCCCACCCCTTTTTTCTTGGGTGATGGCTGTAGGCATTATTCCACCCACATCATCATCTTCCTCCTCTTGGCATCTCCCACCAATAATTCTCAGTCGGCATGGGTGGCACCTTAATCCTCCTTGATGTCTCAACTGTGCCTTGCTACCCTTCATTGAGTGGGGGCAGCTCCTCTTCCTTCTTTGATCTCTCTTTGGTGCTTGTCACCCCTGCCATCCAGCAAAGACTAATTTTTAAAAAAAGAATTATTGTTCCAAATGCTATCACCTCATAAGTGAGTTGATACCAGTGTCAACTTTTTCCTGGTCTGAAAATTGAATAAACAATTGGCCTTCTCTCCCTCAACCCAGAGACACTTTTCCAGGGAAAATCTTGCAACTTACATTATGGTGACAACCGTTTGGCCAAATAAGATATCACCATGTGTTTTTATTAAAAAAAAAAAAAATAGGTCAGGTAGTCATTGTTTTCAATCCTGACATCTCTGCAGAAAGATTTTGCCAAGTCAGTTCTATATTTCCTTCCCTTCTGAAATCAGATACTGGACATCTGTCTCTCATGTCCTTTGGTTTGCTTTAGAAAGATTCCTTAAATAACCTTTTTACCTTTTAACTAGCATTTAAAATTTTATCTGATTCTCCTCACCTCAATTCCATGGACACGTTCATGGCAGAGTTATCTATCAATTGTCAACACCTTGCCCATCATACAAATTAAGTATTGTTCTTAGCTGGCCACTTAGTTCGTTTTAGAATTTTTGATTCTCTGGGAATGAACTGTTATCAGTCTATTGTTCTTGATATCCATTTAGCCCTTTACATGGTACTTCATTTATCAGTATATCGTTTTTGTCTGATATTCAAAAGCTCTTGTTATTAATTACCAGCAACCAAAATAGTGTTACAGCTAGGTGTGTCATGCGTTGCTTTCCCTTGTCTCTCTTTCCCTCTATACGACCTGTGAGTATCAGATTCTCTGCTCATTCTCTATGCGCATGCATGCTGTTTGCTGCCAGTATAGGTCCTTGATTATTCTATCTTATCCAAATTATATCAAGGTTGCTGAGCAGTTCCAACAGATCTTGGTGGTGAACTTTGTTGAACACCTCTGCATAGTCTATAATGCATAGGTATACGTACTTCTGCATTTGTATTGTTCTTTCTGATAACATTCTGAACATGAATATCGCTTCCTATGTTCCGGTGCCTTTAACGAACATGCACTGTTCTTGTCCTATCTCTGTGTGCTCTATTCATCAGAATATGGATGATGAGTTTTTTTTTTTTTTACGTGGCTCATTAGGCTGATTGTTCAGTGAAGTTCATATTCGTTTGCACCTGGTTTCTTAGGCAGTGCTAGGAAAATAGGTCTGCGTCCAATACTTGCATGAAAATTCAAAAGAGGTAATATTCAAAGTTTTCAAAAGAAAATAAAAAAGGAGGGGTAGACTAATTAAAAAGTAATTGAATTGAATTTAGTCTACCCTTCTTTTTTCAAAAAGATCAGTACTCTGCTAAAAAGAGGTAAGCTTCTAAAAAGGATATTGTTCAGATATCACTATCCTTGATGTGGTTGGAAAAATTAATTTTCTTTACAGTGGCTTCACAGATATGTTTTTCTATCTGTATATGTAATATATGAATTCATATTTATGTTCAGTGAATTAATCACTTGAAAATGTATAAAAATTATTTTCTTGCAGGATTTTGTTTTGGGAACTACATTTGCTCTTGACCCAGACAATTCTCATGTGAGTATGTTTATATGCATTCTTCAATCACTTGTAAAATTATTAGCATATAATGTTGAAAAGCTTTTAATCCTGAATCATAGTGTAGAGCTTGTTATGGTGAATTATTTAAGTCTCTAACAATAGCCTGCAAAATTAGTTTAAAGTTGTAATAATTGTTGATTATTGTTATTGCAATTTAATAAACTAATTTTTATCATATTTATTTTGTCGATATTGCCTTGTACCTGACAACATGAAGAAAATGTTTAAACCACCAAAACTGGATCTCCACTCAAACTACCCCCCACAACAGTAAAGGAATGGAAACACTGTTAAACAATTTGTTTGAATAATGCAGTGACACTACTCTTTACAAATTATGGTTGCTTGTTAGCTGCATTTTATGAATACATAGAGATGGCTATTAATGTCCTAGAAAAATCATACATTTAGATGTCAAATTAATTTTTTGACAGACATATTCTAGATATTCGTCAATAGAAACCAGGCAAATCTCTGAATAAATTCTAGTGGGAACACCACAAACTAAGCAAAAATTGTGCTCTCAAAACAGTACCAAGAAGAATTTGTAAGCAATGCATTTATTAACAGTTTAGCTTCCCCTATGATAAGCCAGAGACTACTTGAGAATTGTAACCTGGATTTGCAGTCTGCCTATAGACAGGCTTTTTCCCTAAACTTGGCACAGAAAAACTTGGACACTGATAGACTATGTCAATGCTACTACAGAGCCTGCAGAAATTCAAAAGGATGAAAACTTAAGTAGACATATTGCTGCATCATTTAGTAAAGGAAGGTTACTTTGTACTTTTAATAAAAAGAACTGCTTTTATGTGGTGGACTACTACACTAAAAAAAAATGAATGTCCAGCTAGAAATTCCACCTGTCAAACTTGTAAAAAAAAATAGTACATTATTCAAAAGTGTGTAAATCAAAATGTAGAAGCATAACTGCTGCCATGGAAGCAATGAACCTATGCACCATAACAGTGCCATTTCCAGAATGTCTATGGCCTGCAACCACTAGATTGTCTGTTGATGGTCACAGACTAAATCTGTTACTAGACTTGAGCAGCTCAGAAAGTTTCATTAATGAGAAGGTTACTTCAAAGTTTCAAATTAAAACCAGACCACTCAACAAAAATCCCAATGGCTTTGACCACAATGAACACCCAGACTTATGGTTTCTGTATTGTTAACCTACAAATAAACAAGACAGCACTATGTCTTCCTTTTCAAAGTTTTAAAGAACTTGTTTAGCAACTTGATACTGTAGTAATGCAGAACATGGCTTACCTAGTACAAAGTGTGTTTGAGTTGCTGCAGCTGTAACAGGAAATCTGGTTTGAGGCATAGAGGCATGCTTGCACATCAACTGTGATTTGGTGAAATGGACATCACACCTATGCAAATGCATCAACACCTGAGGCTTACTATATAAGCAGCTACATTGCTTGCTAGGGGACAGTATTAATTCTGTAGACGATACTCATGGGATGTAGTCAAAAGAGAAAGCAGTACAGGCAGAATACTTAACACAAGCTATTTTGGCCCTTATGATGCACGCCAGTTTCTGAAACTGATTCCCCTGTCTGATGGTGCTGGATCAGTGGTCAAATGGATAGAAAGGGCGGAACTTGATGTGTGACATGACGCAACTGAAACACATCATTCCCTTGAGACTAACGGGCTTGGTGGGGGCAGCGTTTGCCGTCTACCAGCAGTTGAGAGATGAGAAGGCAGATTATATACAGACGAGTTCGCAGCATATGAGCAATGTGACACCCACCAGTGGTGGTCACAGTGCCAATATGTGACGTCCTCTGGTCGCAACGCCAATATGTTACACTGCACTGTCGGCCCATGGTCAACTCTGAGTTGCTGCGCAAAGCGGTAAGGTTTCTTCCACCAGTGTTTTGGGGGTTGTCACTGCCACCAGCCTGTGTCCCAGTCGATCTGGTCATTCCCGGTTCGATACCAGCTTTGTCGTTCCCAGCTCACTTCCAACGTCTGGTTACCGAAGTAACTACTTTGATCTCAAGTCTAACCTACCCATGCTGTGACTTTGATCTTGGGTAGATGAAATCAATCAGGCGCCAGGCCGTAGTGCAAGCTGAATCCGGGGTAAAGGTGATATTGCACAAGCATAAGTAAAAGACGCAATAAAACAAACTCAAGAGGTTCAAATATGTTGAGAAATATCAAATTATCTTTATCCGTCTGTTATATACATATTTTTCTCCCCGCCTGTTTCTAAGGATTTGTGACACTTTTGCGTTTCTTAAGCGAGTTTTGGTATCTTAAGTCGTTCGTCAATATAAGTCGGAAAGGACATGGAAATCTCTTGGTCAGCTTCTTCGAGGCAACGGTCTGCAACTGTGCAAAACTGAAAAACCACTCAGGGACGTTCATTTATATTGGCACCAACCAAAACACGGTGTGGGTCTTGATGTGGCTTGCGTTCCTGATAATTCTTGATTCCCAGCAAGATTTCTCTTTGTTCTTAGGCCAGGAAAATTAATTACTTCCCATTTTCGGAAGAGTAATCACTTTCCATTTCGGGGGTTTTTCCCTCGTCCGTGAGGAAGGGTTGGAGGAGAGTTATCCTCCTAGACTCTTCCTCTCTCATATTGGTATCTCATACCAATCCCCTCAGTGGGTGTTAACAACTTCTCTGTCTTTCTCATACATTCACCTCTGCCCATCACCCATGCTACCACTTGACCAATGATCTCTCGGCAGTGTGGGTGTGGCTAGACTGGCCCTCTTAAAATTATTATCCAGAATTTTGTTTACAAAATCCTTTTTTTCCTTCGGCCAAAACATTTTTTTTTTTACAAACCCCAGATTGCCAAATGATTCTTATCACATCTTTCTTTTGGGGACACCCAAAATTCACTTAGTTGGGTCTCTCTACCGACTCATCACTGTCAAAACCCGACACCTGGTTTCTTCTGCTAAGTAAACTTTTAGCTGGGAGGTCCGTATTTTACCTGAGAATCAAATTTATTTTTCTCATGCCTTAAAATCCTCTTATCACCAAATGCCCATTTTCGACAACGCTGTGTCTGACGTCAACAGTTTGAATAAGCAATAATAATACGATTTTCTTCCTCATGCCAGAATTCTAGCACACGCTAGATGGTTCCCCTCGTTGGACCCAGGAATTAAAATTAAATGATATCTCTGAAAGATAACCAATATCGATTCTCTCTGCCTTTACCGAGATGATCTCAAGCCAAAATTTTTTTATGGCCGCCATGTGTCGGTTGGCTTTGTTTTTCTTTCTGAATTCTGTTTCTCTTGGTGCGTCACTCTCTTATCGGGACATTAATCAGTTTTGACAGAATCTCATATCTCGCTTTTTCTTGTGGGAAAAGTATCTTTCTTCGTAAATAAAATAAAATCTTCTTTTTAATGTCGCTCAGTCTATCTTTCAGTCAGCGTGTGCCGCAGTTGTTGATGATTCTGCCCAGATAATGAGTATCCATCAGCAAAGTGGGCATCCTGATGTAAAGTGCACCCTGTATTTTGTGAGGCATGTCAATCCTGCAATATCCAATACTGCAGTTAAAGTGATGGGACAATGTGTGGCGTGTCAGTACCCGGCTCTGGTACAATGTACAGTGGAAGACACTTGGTGCCGAATAAGAGTGGACATGACCCACCTTGGCAGCAGACACTACTTGATGCTGATCAATTGTGGCCCTACTCAATTCTACATCTGGCACCCA